TATAGGAAATGGTTCTGCCATCCAAAACCCTTGCACCTTATCTCTAGCTTGGACCTGATTATTCACCACGTATCGATATGGTGTGCTCCAGGGTCTTCATGAGGTGCAAAGAACCTTTCAGAAAAGGGACTGTACTTTAAGTATGCTTCCAGATGAAGACAAGAAAAGCAGAAAACAAAGGAAACATAGGAACTTAATCCATTTGAGTTCAATTGGTTAAAACACCTGTAAGCCTTGCAGAAAATATAAGTAAAAACCCTCAAAGAGATCAAAATAAAAACTAAAGCGTGAATATGAAAACCAGAAATAATGGCATACACTGGATGCAATTACAGAAGATAGATCAAAGGAACAGACGTTCTTTTTTCCCAGAATGGGTGAACAGATTCATCAAGGACAGCTTTCTACCAATTTGAAATGATAAGCTTGCAGGAATCTTTCCCGTGTTAACTTTTGAAACTGTGCATCTCTGTGTTCTCTGGTCAGTTTTGGTTTTCCTTCTTTCTTATTTCTCTCTCTATCCCTTCACACATCATTTATTTTCCCAGCTATTCCAACTGTTTCCTTCACTTTCTGGGAAGGAAAAGAAAGCTGGGACCAAACAACCCTAAGACATGATCATAAATGATTAAATTACAATGGCATGATGTTAATGTCAAGTGAATCATATTAACTGTGTCAACTCCAAACCTTTACAGCTGTTGATGTAAAACACCACATTTGAAAGCATCTTCACATTTCAAAGTTGTTTAGCATACAGAAACTCAGGAACTGCAACCCAAAACAAATACAGTGTAATTGAAAATTGGTGTACCTCCCTCCCCTTGCTTCCCAACCAGAACCAAACACAGATCGTTACTGAGAGAGGCTCACTGCCTAACTGCTTATTACTTCACCAACAGTACAGTCTATCACACAACTGACTGTAAATTCTTTTATAGGTTATTATGAATGATACCTCCTAACTGGCGTTTAAAGAAAATACGAGAAGAAAAGCTAGCGCATACCACAATCTACATGTAGACAATTTCCAAACTGTTCTCCATTGTTTTTATTGGCCATTGATGCAGAAACAGAGGAAAGTATTTTTTTTGGAGGACAGAACACTTGACAACAAAGAAATTAAGAGTGGCACTTAGAGTTAATAACATTGAAAAAGTTCCTTAGCTTTCTGGGTGATTATGCTCTTTTCACGCAAACTGAGCTCAGTGCAGACATAGACTCTCCATTAAATTCACAGACACAAAGAAATTCTGCTTTTGGTATACACATATCATCTAATCTGTTGCAGATATGTTAGAAATGAATGGTGGTCTGGGCACCCAAGGCACAGTTTTGGAGTTAATCATGGAGCATATCACAGAGCAGCAGTATCTAAGGACAGTTAAATGAGTTATCTGCAAGGCAGGTAAGCAGGACTAATGAGTAACAAACATCATTCTCATATCGGTTCTGAGAACCAGGCTACTATTTATTCACAGGGCTCTGCTGCATGGAGGAGACAGACCTTTGTAAACACAAATCATTACAGTCACATAAAATTAAAAGTGTTTTAGTTACGGACTGCTGGCATTCATCAGAACACGTGCTTTTCCTGAAAAGGCAGAACCCCGGTTGCATTAATGCGGGGCACAGCAGCCTTGCTGCAGCTAGGAAGCAAGGCAGATGCAGCAGCCCCCCTACCCCACACTGCAGCGTGCAGAGACCACAGGCAGCTCACTGCTTCTGACTGAGAGGAGGGCAATGCCAGCCAGAGAAAGTTTTTTTCCTGCCTAATAGTTACACTTTTACTACTTACAGGTGTATTTCAGGGATTGACTTTGTGTCATAAAATCTGCAGTCCTTTCTTTGTTGCTTAGTGCATGGATCATAGTTGTAAACTGAATTTCTGATGGAAATAGCTCAAACTTCCTACATAATTCCTTTGGTAACATTGAGAGATGGAAACTGCCTGCCCTGAGCATTTGATACAATAGAGCAAAGCCACATCAAACTGCGCTAAATAAGGCTTTGATTCCAGTATCTTTAAAGCCATGGGATGTCAGTTTACATATGATCTGCCTAATAAAAGACAGATCATGATTTTCTGTTTACTTTTCCTTTCTCTTCCCTCCCTCCCCTCCCCCCCCCCCCCATTTCTTGTGTGAGGGGTAGCTGGTCTGATGCCATCTGAGAGTTTCCAGGCACACAAGGAGAGCTGAGCTATCACCCACCTGCTCCTGCTTGCCTATTAATATTGGGTTTATTGAGAGAAAATCTCTCAGATAAATAAAAGCATCCCATCAACAGACAGATGCAGCTTGTGACAACCACCCAGTATTTCCCAAATCCCTACCATTTTCTTATTGCATCTTCCCAAGAAGGGGGCATGCACCAGACTTTCCTACTCAGAGCCTTGCAGTTTGAGTAAGTACAGTTTGTCTAGGTTGGCTACAGATCGAGACCAACAGAGCCATACAGAATATATGCAGGTCAGAGAGGTTGGCACCTTCCCTGCAATTCTCAGGCAAAAGTATGTAGCAGGTAACATTTGGAGGTCTGTGATAAAGGCAGACTGCCATGAGACAAAGATGAGGCCAACATCCCCTTGTAGTACTCTCCGGCATTAGCTCTACCTTCCGGTAGCTCCACTTGCAACCTGTACAGAAGTGGTGGGGGCACAGAGCTTCACAGTCATGAATATGGATACTTGCAGAAAATACAAGGACTTAAACATTTTCTGTCACTTCCTGCACTGCCATTCCCACATCATTCTCTCCAAACATGAGGGACAGGAAGCTGGCAGGTCCTGTACCAGGCTGATCTGACTCACCATGGATCCTTCCTACCCAGGTGGAAGAGAAGTGAGCCAGCCACATCTAACAAGGCCACTAGAATGGAATTAAAGCACTCTTGTAAAACCAGACATATTCCCAAACAAGCCACGAGGTCGTACGGGGACAGAATTTTACTGTTGCTTAGGGCCTTCTTGAGCTTGACTCTGCTCCTAAATTTCACAGGATCTCAGCTGCAATCAGCGCTTCTGAAAGAAAGAAGGAGCCTTTCCTACAAGGAAGATGCAGCCCTAGGACTCAGTGGAACTTACTCAGCCAAAATGCACTGAGATATACAAACTAAAGCTCTGAATTTTCTTCACTGAATCCCCTCTACAGCTGGGCAGTCTGGATGGCACCTGCTTATTTCTATTCAGAGCAATAAAGCCACAAAAGAAGTCTGTGTGAAGGAAGGGATCTCTGCTGATGAAAAAAATGATAAGTCTATTTCCACGCTTAGACTGCAAGGCTGCTCAAAAAGTCACATAGAGAAATCTGTGCACTTTGGCACAGTGAAGAATGGAGTTTCAGATCATAAAAATCTATTAAAATGCATATTTGAACAAAACTAGTATTTACTTAGCACCAAAATATCCTGAGGGTTACACCTGCATACTCAAATTAATTTTCAAGTGCCTCTTTTGCTATGCAGGCTATTTTATGTTACAGTTGTACCGTACTTACATAACCTACTTGAAATGTATTTCCCCTTGTTTGGAGTAACAACTTTCTGGAGATGTCTCACAAAGTCTAATTTGGAAAGAAATTAAAGGCAAGAGTCTTTCCTCTGTACTCTTTCCTGACTACCATACAGAATACCTGCTGAGCAGAGATCAAGCAGGTCTCTTTACTGATTTCTGAGCACATGTTAAAACACATTCAGCCACCAATAATTGGAGGCTTATTAATGTCTTCATCATGGCTCTGTATGGGTTTCTGTGAAGTGCTTTTAGATGGTTCTTACCAACAGTGGAGTATACATGTATATACATCCAGTGTAACACACCGTGCGTGGTAATCACAGAATCAGAGGGGCTAAGCACAAGCACTCACTGAACCTCTGTGCCAACAGACGTTGAACTACACTGTTCACATTCACGTTCCTGACAGCTGTGTTTTCTTTAAGACTAAAGAAAATAGCTTTTTCTTTAATAGTAATAGCTTTTTCTTTAAGCTATTGCAATTCTACTCCCCTCTTCCCCACGCACACCCAGCACTTTAGTCTATCCCAGCACTTTGCTAACCTTATTCTTCTCTTCCTTGCTGCTATTCAAGCTCTTCACTTCTTGCTCTACACTCCATGGAGATGGAACAGACTTCACTTCCTCACTGAGAAGTCCCTTATAATTTCCCCCAAAGTCTCTTCATGTGAAATGCAAACTGTTCCTTCCATCAGTCCTCTAACAGCAGGTTTTCTGCACCTCTCATCATTCTCACTGCCTAGCTCTAGATTCTTTCCAATTGACCCAACACTTTCATGAAAAAATTAGCACAAGAGCCCACCTACAGCCACTTAAAGCCTGAATCAGGCATAAGGACAACTTCTTATGTTCTGCAGAAAAACAATGCTACATAAGCTTACACTGGGTTATGCTTGAGCAAATGTTATGAACTGGTTAAGATCTTTCATTCAATAAAACTGGAGCAGTTGTTCTACAAAAACAAAGGGTAATATGCTGATATCATCAATGACCATGTTCTCACATAAGCAAACTACACAGTACAAATTATTCTGCGAAAAGTAACGATCTGTTCTGGAATTAGCAGCACTAAGTCACTATCTTTCGGTCAGGAGATGTACAGTGACATAAAAGAATCACAGTAGTTAACCCTTTGTTATCTTGAAAGCCTCCTGAAATCCCTCAAATGAAGAGCTTTCACCAGGCTGTTCTGCTTGTCTGATAAGGCTTAGTCTACTTTCCTCTGTCTGACAGAAAGTTTCCAGACTGTGGTCGAGTAGCTGCTATGAATTATGTAATTTCAAAGAGCCCCAAACCAGCATTGATCAGTTATATTCAAAAAAGTCATTTTCATTCTGAGACAGTGGTTTTAAAATGCGTTTAAGGACAACTGGCTGGCTGCTCTTCTCCAGCTGGACTTTTTTTTTTTTTTATATATATTTTTTTTCAGGCTGTGAAATTCCTATAACATAACACTAGAACATTAAATTCTGTCCTTTGCACTTACCCTTCTCTTTGGTACTCCTCATCCAAATTTGACAAAAGCTGGGACCCAGCCACAGACAGATCAAGTGCAGCTAATGGGAGATCTCGATAGGCAAAATTCACAAGCTGTACAGGAGCAATGCTTTTGGTCTCTTCTTCCACTTGTTGCGAAATTATCTCAACTTCTGAAACACTGCCTTCTATTGTAGGCCTGAAAATATAATCAGCGATAAAAAACACTTCTTTCTTTACAGATAAGCACACATATACATCTACATTATATAAACAAATATAAACAAACAAGTAAAAATAAGTTTAAGACAGTGACTTCAGTGAACCCCAAAAACCAGACAACTGAAATGGCCCTTGCAAAGACACTGAGGGAGGCATCGTTTTTGAGGGGGAAAGACCAGATCTCTCTAAACTTGTCTTCAGTACATCTCACTGAAATCAACAGAACCCTCACAGATAAAAGAGAACATTTCACTCTGCTGAAGCTGCTTCAGAAGCACTAAATAAAAATGAAAGTGTTATAAACAAACAAAAATAGAAACAATGTATGAACCCAAATGCAAAATATTTGTGCAAAACAGACAAGAACAACAGAAAGGAGGGATGCGACTACCTTACTTAGCAACTCACTGCTTTGTAACTTAAATCAGGGAACAATGAATAGTTCAGCTTATGAATTATGTATAAATCAGCTGTTAGTTACTAGATGCAATATGATCCCTCTTTCACTGTCAGTCAGTATAGCCAGATTTTTGATGGCTGGTGATTTGGTTGCATTCAACCACAAAATATCATTCTGTTACAAGTTATTTCAAAATAATTCTGAAAGCAGAACAAAGATTGAGAACTTATTTATAACAGTTATCTTAAGTAGCCATATGAACAGCTTTTAAGTCTGGACATACATTTTTCTACCAGACCACTAACATTAATGTAAACTGTATGCAAGTGTCTAACCGCAGGCATGTCTTCCATGTTTGTAAGATAGTACTTACCTAGAAACCCAAACTTGGTCAGCTAGCATACTATCTAGTACATACGAAGGATGACTTCACTTTAGGAGAAACCTTGTATGTCGAGTCCCAGTCGTAACTGATCTTTTGCAGTCCCCAGTGAATGCTACTTGCTCCTTTTGATTCAAAGTAGGGTGCAAAGATAATCTGCTCTAGCTTTCATCCAGGGAAGTTTGTTAACTTCTCAAGAAATCTCAGGCTAGTTCTCAGAGGTTTTCAACAGCAGGTGTGAAGATACTTTTTCCTTAGGGATATAGTTAAAAAGTTCACAGCACCCAACTTCCCTCTGTTATGTGACTTCATTGTGGTGATTTTGTTTTTAAAGAAGCTTATTAAAATCTTCCAGCTATTAAAGCACCCTGAATAACAGTTCATTTTTCCAGAAAAATGAATAATTTAGAAGAGTTCTTAACTCATGTATGTTGTAAGTCTGAAGATGCAGTTGAAGGAACTAAAATTTTAAGCAAAAGAGAGACAAAAACCCTATTGCTCAGAGCCTAACCATTAAACTAACCCTTTTGGATGGAAAACATTCCTAAATTTAAAGGAGCTAATCACTACCAGCATTACACAAGAAAGTTATTTGAAAAATCTGAAAATGCTGTTGTAACTCAAGTATTTGTGAGAGGAAGGCTGCGACTGTGTCATACTATGTCAGAAAGCCGAAATGAAGGGAGGCACTACCATTTAAACAACCTAAAGGCTGGTTTTAGTTTATTTTTTGCCCAGCTAATGATTGAAAGTAATGAGATTCTTGGAATTTCCAATAGAATTGTATTCGTCTGTTAACAAACAGGAATTGGAAGCCCAGAGGGAGGAGCCAATTCTAGAAATAATGTTATTTCTTTGATTTTCACCTTTAGTGCCATCCTGTGGACCTTTATGTTTACAAGTCCAAGATAAGCTGGTTCGGTTTTGCATGGAAGTCCACAGAGCAATCAAATTTTCAGTATAATAAAGGAAAAAGGAAAACGGATTAGTGCAGCCTTCCCCTCCCAAAAGTATTTACATTTGTATTTCTTAAACGGACTACATGGTAGACAGAGTCTGATGTGACCGAAAAGCAAAACAAATATGCCAACAGACTAGTGTTGGCAAGCAGCTTTGCAAGAATTGTGGTGAAAGGAAAGGAAAAAAGCAATGGGTCTGATGTAGACATGACAAAGTAGCTTTCAGCTACTGTCTCTCAGTAACACATCCAAAACACTCACTGCATTCATGCTATTTCTGCTAATTCACACTCTTCAGATAACCGACCAAATCCTACTATTCCTTCTCAAAGTAGCAACTTTCTTTCCCAGTAATACTGATGGAACTCTCTCAATATCACAACAACATTCTCCTGCAGGTAGGAATTGTTATGGTGTATTTAAAATAAGCTGTAACTATCCTTATATGGCACTTACTGAGGACTGGTCATGTTGGAGGATGCAACCCAATCAGCAGTGGTTACAGTATTTAACTGATTCCAGCTCTTTTGCACAGAAGTTCTAGCCTTCTAAGATGAGCTTTCTGCAAGAGGCAAAACAAAGTCTAAAAATCTAGAACACAGTTGGAAAAACTCCAAAGGGCTGCATTGACATTTTTGGTCATGTTGTGAGTTTGCCTATTTTATTTCCCCTGTGATTCTTTTCTAGGTGTTCTTATTCAGGTAAACTCCTCTACTTTATGGAAGGGGTAAAGCTACATTGCATTTATGTACACACATAGACACCTGCTCACATATAAACCAACAACATGTATAACAACATGTATCTTGCTTTAAGTTTCTAGACCGTTTGGAGAAATAATGAGGTGGTGGGATTTTCAAACAAAGCTCAGGGCCTCAGGAGCACAAATGCTACTGGAAGCCAAAGGACAATTTATAATTACAATTTTCAATTACAAATTAATATACTGAATAGAGATGAACGTTAGCTTTGTCTACAAAGTTTTGTTCTCCATTTTCTAATTGGAACCGTGTTCCTGACTTCTTCTGATACTTTGGCGAGTGTCTTTTAAAAATTAGTTCACGTTGTCAAATAGTTTAGATAGGCTGTTATCGAGATGATAATTCAAACAACTAACCAACTAAGCCCACCAACACATTTGGAAAATGTACCAGATTTACCTATGGCAAAATCTCCGTTTGTGTTGTACCTAGACCAAAGGGAACCAGAATGGAAAACAACAAGCTTGTGAGAATAAAACCTACTGATAAAATAGGTTTTAGTAGATGGAAAATATAATCTAAAGGATACTATATAAAAAATAGAAATTCATAGAAAATGATATCATGAGAGATTTTGTAAAGCTACTGTCAGGGTTATAAGCTAAATAATTAAAATCAGTAACTAAAATACAAAAAGATATTCTTACTGTATTTTAACAAAAATAGCAGTTGGAAAATTAGCATATTACTGACAATAACACCAAACTATTTCCATGATGATAGAAAATACTTTTTATATTGAACTTTATACATAGAGTCATTAACAGGCTGAACTGTTAGTATCAGTTGAGTATTTACAATGGAAACATAAATATAACAAAAGTATAATCCTTGGTAATCATTTGATACCAAATAATAAAACTGAACTTACATCATTTGTAGTGTCATTTCCAAGGCTTTACTTCATGTCCCGTAAACTTGCAATAATGTAAAATATAGTTAATCCATTCTCAAATTTTCCAGATAACGTGCCTGGGTATACAGAAAAGAAAGGACCTAGACTGTGATCATCCTCCTCATGTAGATAAGGCAGCCAAAAACATTTAATTATTTATATGAAGAAAAGAAACATGACTGACTTTAAAACAGAAAACATACATGTTCCAGAAAAACGCACACACTCCACTTATCTATACACTTTCAATGCTTGTAAAGTCAGAGCAACAACCCACCTTGTTTCAGATAAACCTTATCTGATACAGTACAGCTTTAATTCAACATCCATTTGGTATCAATGGGAGTCTGTTTCCTTGTACTCTCAATCCTTGAATTATTTCATTCATTATATCCCCAAGGCAGCAAACCACTAAAATAATTTCTTAAAATTAAATGTTATTTAAATCACACGCTGAAGGAATACGGTGAATCTGTGCCTGTGACAGTTGTGTAACAGCAACTGTTACACCTACTGGCACACAACAAAACCAAAATGTCACCATCAGCCTTGTTTTGAAATTTCACAACTCTTTTCAAAAACAAAATAGAAAAAAATATTTTTAATTAAGTGCTTTACCCAAACCTATTGCTCAAGCAGTCAGCCTAGGACAATGGTAAAGGACATGGCACCCTGCACCTGTCCTGTGAGACTGAAACAGAAATTGGAAATCTTACCGCACTCCTGTTTGCAAGCCTTGAGAATAAAAGGCATATGGGATGCATCTGATTTAGGAAATGGCACTAAAACTGATTGAAACTGAACTCCAAGGACAAGCAGACAGATGTGGAGATGGGAATTTTTTCACAGAGATGAAAACTCACCATCTATCTGGGAGAGTGCTAATATTCACCACTTCTCTCCCAAAGGAGCTTTGACAAACAGGAAGACTAAAAACACAACAGCTAGATTTTAAAAATTATTATTTTAAATAAATCTCAATATTTTTAGGGAACTTAAGTCATAACAGGGGGGCCAGCAACACTGCAAATCCTTAACATGACCTGAACATGCAATGTATGTGTTGTTTTTTTTTTTTTAAAGCTAGAAATACATTCTCATTCAAGCAGAACTTTGTTTCCTCACTCAACCAGATCCGACCAGTAGCAGCACCAGTAAGCCAGACCTGCCCCCTCCTCCTGAAGCTGGCAGCTCTGCAGGAAACATCTGCTGACCACCAGGAGCAAAGGAGCAACTCACGGCTGGGAACCCTCCGATAACTCTGAGGGCTCCCCAGAGAGCAGAGTCCAAGGCACCCTTGCCGAAGGGATCGCTACCATGCCATAAGGCACTCGCAAAGCTGAGGGGAGAAACGTGGAAAGAAACGGGGAAGGAGAAAAGGGAGTCAAGTCTCCAAAGGACTCAGTGGAGCCTTCCTGAGAGAAAAAGTGGCAAAAGTGAGTAATTTCTGATGCAGATGACTAATGTGTTGGCTGATTTAATGAACTGAAAAGATGAGTGGTTAATGGTGCCCCCAGTAAGAGAGTAGCACAATAGAAACCTTCAAAATGGATGTAATAGGTTGTATCTATATCCTAAAGGGATTAGGAGGATTCATGCTTTTTTCTAGGCTATACACAAGCACGTACTGCTATTTGCAGAAACTTCATCTTTCTATCCACTCCAGCCCACCTAGCCACTATGTACAAAACTTCATTAAAGCAATGTAAAACACTTCGAAGTCCTACAGGAAATTTCTGTGCAACTGAGCAGTGTTTAAAGGCAACAAGGCACAGCAGAGAGAATTTGTTTCCCTGTACTTAATCTCTCACTTGCCTTCCTCTAGGATATAGAGTAGGCAAAGGGCAATGATGTGGCTCTCCTGCCTGCCAGCAGCGATGAGCAGGGGCAGAAGGCAGGCAACCTTTGGGGCTTCCATCCACCACCTGAGTGGAAACTTCCCTGTACTGCCCTATCTGCACCTAGCCCAGTCACTGCTCAGGAGGCAAAAATTGACGTGGTCTCACCTGAGGGCATCAGTTAGCAGTTTCAGGGTGCCTTTTTTTTTCTGCCTCTCGGAACTGAAACCAGACAGCACATGGTACTGGCTGAGCTGCCACGTGAGTACGAGCGATGCCCGTTTTGTGGGAGTTCAGCAGTTCTATTTGTTCTGCAGCACAAGTATTTTCAAGGAGAGATGGCTGTGGAAGGAGCACAGTTTCCCAAGTTAAACAGAATTATAATTAATTTTAAGAGGTGATAAAACACAAAGGAAAGAATTGCCCCCAAACGTTTCATGTGCAAGCTTTGAACTGTTGTAAAACCCAGAAATATTCACAGGACTGAATGACTAAGGCACCAGCTTGCATGTACCGAGAAGGCAGTGTAGTCTGAAGGGAAGCATACTTCTGCACCTGGTTTTCTGTGCAGAGTCAAGCTTGTAGGCTCATAGCCTAGCTTAAAACACGTAAGTTCACAGTTCAGATCTCGGCAGAGCTGACTCAGCTCTTCACCCGTCTGCAGTAAGCAAAGGAAGTTGCACCCAATTCACTGAACTCTTTTTGAAGCAAGGCCTTTGAAGTGTTTAGAAATGCTTTATTTGCCTCTCAATCCCTTCAGCTTTTCTCTGTTCCTTGCACAGATATCACACACACACACTGGTGTCTCCAAGACATTTGTAATCTACTTTCTGTTTAATTATGATTTCTTTTACCCCTTCCTGTGTGGGGGCACAGGCACACAGCTGCTTCACAGTTCACAGGTTATGCTCAGAATCACGCAGGATGAAAAGCAGTGTCATGTGCTATAGAGCATGAGCAAAGGTTGATGCTGCTGCCCTTGCCCAGCACAGATCCATCCTGTCTGAGTTAATTTGTTAATGTTTAAAACAACCTTCCGCTGTCAGTCACCACACCTTAGCCATAGCTTGCTAATAAGCAGATGGAGGTCAGCTGAAACAATGCAACATGCAGAACAGCTGGGAAAGTATACGTAGAATCACTGTATGTGTAAGATGGTACATGCTTTAAGTACAAAGCTTTTTTAAAAAGTAACTTCAAAAAAAAAAAAATCTATATTCCACATCTGAATTAAAATCTTTTAGCACTGCTTTAGACAGTCTCACAAAATGTGCCACAATGGGGCACAAAAAAAGCCTGAATTAAAACAAACAAACAAAAAAGCAGATACGGGGAAGAGGAAGATGGAGGAAAATGGTTTAATTTAAGCTTTTTATACCAGAGTCCCTGCTAGCTTGTATCTTCTTTAGCTGAGCTGAAGTCAAGACAACATGTCTCACAGTATTTGTTGTATTTGCTCCCACTCTCCCCGGGTTATCATCATGATGCTGTGAGCTCTTGCATGAAACACACAGAAAGAGCCACCTGAGTTTCTATACTGACAAGTATCTAGGTAGCCAGATTCTCACCTGTTCTTCTAACTGAAGGTTCTTCCACATAGCCCCCTAACAGAAGCTTAGAGGTGAACAGGCTCACCAGATGCAGGCAAAGTACATGCAACAGGCCGCACGTGGCCACAACGCTGCTGTTGGGGCAGTAACAGGCTTTAGGCATTCTTCTACAGCCTCTGTCTCGCCCTCTTCCCCTGCCCCAACCATGCACATAGACCATTACTGTGAATGTGACCAGGAAAATATGGCACTTTAATCAACAACAGCAGCTGATTTTTTTGGTTTGTTTTTAATTTCTGTGCTTTTCTTGAAGCAGGATTGCTTCCCTGGTGCAGGTCACACTACAGCTCCGAAAATAGCTGTGTCAGCAAAAGGGGGGTAGGGCAGTGGTGCGTGGGCACAGCCACGGGAACAAATGGCATGGTGGAGAAATACTTAAAGCAGCTTAATTCAGAAAGACTTAAACCTAAGATAATGTGCCAAGCTCTTGCAGTTGGTGATATTAAACTGGAATAAGCATCCGACCTGGAAATGCTTAACAGATTTACAAAGGGGGAAATGAAAAGCAGCCCTCTCTTTAGGGCTTTTTCTTATTGTGTTTTGTTGGATTTGTGTGTGTGTGTGACGTTAAAGCTTTTACATTGAATCTAGTACACATGAGGAAATGGAATTGTTTAATTTGTGCAAAGTAAGTTATGTTAGTTTAGTCTATAAATTAAATTTCTTATAGATCTAGTATTTACATGGAATTTATGGCTATTAAAGTTCCTATCAGACAATCTTAAGGAAGCAACAGAGCTATCCAGAAAGGTGCAAATAACTTTGAATAGGGCTAGGGGAAATACCTAACCCAATGTTACCCTTTGGAGCTTTTAAAGAGAAAGGGGAAGTGTAATTCAGGGGTAGCTAATTGTGAATCAGCCTAGCCACGTGGGATTTTGTGATTAACACCGTTGCTATCACCTTGAAGATTGGCACAAATTCTATTTCATCACTTATCTATACCAGTAAAAGTTACATTTCTTACAGATTGAAACTAGGCTCCCTGGGATCACAACCTGGCAATTATGGCGTGTTTTCAGTTCAACATCTGGGTGAATGTTCACCAGCTCCATGCATTTGCGTTTAGAAAATTTTAATGGTCATGTATGTCAGTGTTTCCTTCAGAAATCCAGCAGCCTGCTCTTCTGATAGGGAAACCCTGAAAAACTCCTGCAGAAGAGGTAGCAATACTTCCTTTCGTCACTCCAGGTTGAACAAAATTTAAGAGATTCATCATGATTAAAAAAACAAGATTGACTGAACTGCCCCTCCACTTTCATTTACCCAACAAATGGGTTGAAAACAAATTTCAAATCCACTTTCAGTTACCCAACATTAAGGAATTATTTGTTTATATGTCTCTAGATATGGACACTTAACGTGTCCTTTATTTAAAAAAAAAATATATTAAATTTATTAGTAGGTTATGAATGCAGAAATCTCACAGAAAACAAACAGCAAAATAATTTGCTCAACAAACCAACTACATTTGATTCATATTATTTTAACAGTTGCAGATACCCAACTCTATTTGTAGCTTCAATATTCCTATACAATATCCAGAAGAGGAGAGAGGTACAAAAGATAGAGCTTTTTATTTCAAGGAAAAAAATGGGACATTAAACTTTTCTCTTTGTCATAGTGATCTACAGTCAAGTTTTTTAATACATCATTAAAAAAAAAAAACGAACCTCCATCACAGGGAAGGTATTTTTATTGGAAAAAAAAAAAAAAATCAGGCATCCAGAAATTAGGAAGTGGCAGATTGGAACTTGCTCATGCAGCTATAATTCCATCCCCTTGTGGGATCATCCTGTATGCTGAAATTAAGCAGAATGCTGGGGGGTGGGAAGACATGTAATCATGTAACTAAAAACTGTCTTGTTATTTGTAAGTATAGTTCATAATTCCTAGAGAAGTTTAGACAGGCAAAAGAAGAGAAAAAATAATTTTCTGCACAAGCATAATCTCTCCACAACACAGTATGAGCACTGTTTGAATCTGGAGCTTTCAGTACTGCAAACTTGGACCTCAGGACAAATTAAAACCCATCAGAGGAGGACTAAGCCAATACAAACTCCCAGGATAGCCCAGTCCAGCCCCCTCTCTTCCAAGGCACCTGCAGATTTGCAGCACGTGGTACTTTCAGACAGAGAGAAATTGGAGGAGCTGCTCTGCTTGGGATGGTTATGGAGGGACTCCTCCTATAATCCTTCCCTCTGCTGCCTCTTCACCGAGGAACTGGGGAGAGGGGAAGGGAGCCACACAGCAGGCCTACCTACAGACAGGCTTCTGTGACATACAAGCATCCCAGCCCGTGCCCATGCTGCCCTTCCAATTCACATTACTGTACAGTACATACCAGTGCTGCTGTCGCAGCTGCAGTCAGTTGTTCTGAGGCACTACCAACATTTTCCAGGAAAAGCACAACAGCCAGCAGGTACTTCAGCAATTCACAATGTAGCTAAATCTGAAGACATCAGGGGATGAAGAAAAGGTACCTCTCTAGGCCTTCTTCTTGCTGAGTTTTAACAACCTACGGCAAATAACAAGAGTTATGAGGAATCTCAAAATTCTGGAAGAACTGAGCAGCTCCCAAGGCCACCCAAACAGAAAGTTAGCTCCTTAACAAGAGACACGCGCACATTTAGTACGGAGAGTACTCATTTGGCCTTTAACTCTGGATTAACTCTACAAGCTTGCTATTTACCCCACCTCATTACACATCATCCCCATTTACCTGCAGTAAATTAGTTTCCCCAACATTGTTCCTCTGTAGCTTCCCAGTGTGGTTAAAGTGAAAGGAGGAAAACAAACCACACTAACGGACTCTCAAGTCCAGAGAACGAAGGAGAGATCAACCATGTATTCAAAAGGCCCATTTACAGATTAATCTAGTCTTTGAAGGTTTGGGTCTGTTTAATAAGTGAAACCACAAAAGAATGCTTGGTGTCTCACATACAAGCATTAGGCATAAGGCTGTCAGCTTGCACTGTTTTACTGCACATCTCAACACCCCCTGCTCTGCTCACACCTCTAACTGCTAGAAAAAGCACTTCTATTTGAGGAAAAAGTGAAGGTATACCTACACATACCAAGCAGCACCACTTAGACCAGATGGGGCTTCTAGTGAGATGACCTCTATACAGCCCAGTACGATGATACAGACGCTGACCATGGACTCAGATAAATAGCTCAGGCCTGATGCTGTTGATGCTGCTTCTGGGCTCAGAGCTGGAAAGCTTGGCTTTTGCTATGTGCCTCTGCACATGTTGATAGACATCAGCCTGGCATTAACAGCACCACTAGACTGAAAGCATCTGTTTTTCTCCAGTCTTGGAAACAAAACAGCTCTGGGCTAAGCTAACACATGGGTAGAAGGCAACTTGCATCAACTTTATGACAAAGGCAGTCTGGCACCTCCTCCCCCTCAATATTTTGGGTCACAAGTTCTGGTTCTCAAACGGGGAAAAAAGAAATCTAAAGTAGATTTTAGTTAAGAATATAAAGATTTCAAACCCAAGCAAACAGAGCTGGGCTGATATTTATTTCATGGCAACAATTTATTCCTGAATTTCAAATGTGTAACATTAACCTACCTGAGTCATTTGAAGTCAGCTGTGTTATTAATAGAAGCAAATCAAGGAGCAATTCCATCTCAAAGAAGCTTGGTTTGCTGGTGTCTGTCAGGAATCAGCTCTTGGATTTGGTTTCAAGCTTTTTTATTTATTTATTTATTTTTATTTTTCCCCCTTAACTCCCCAGAACTGCAGTGAAGAGTCACTAACCAGAGACCTGCAGCCATGTCTTTGTTTCCAAGACACAGCCATGTGTTATTTTTTTCTTTTGTTTTCAATCCAAGCAAGATAAGTCCAGCCACTCTTTAGAACAGCTAAGGAAAAATACACACCCTTTTCACCATGTTAGTGTGAATAATTTTAGTGCTATAAAGAAATCTGCCTTCTCTCATTAGCTTAGAGTTAATCACACACGAACTTCACTTTTTGCAGTCTGCCAATGGTGTCTGAGGTAAAAATACAAGTCCACTTGAATGTAACAGTAAAATACCAATTGACTTGAGCAGAGCAGAAATTTCACACAGGATTTTTTAACTCAAGACAGAGGAACACAAAAAGTCTCCCTGCTTTGAGAGGTCCCTCTAAAGAAAGTGCCTCAGCTCAGGGGAATGACACTGTCAAGCTGTCTTAGGGATTGGGTTTTAGGCATGCGAATGTCCTAGGGCTGCCCCATGTTTGCCATGAAAATGATCAGAACTCATTACATTTTAATTTGCACCCACAATACCTGTAGTTCATCGGACTTACATGTGAACTTTGTAATAAACACAAGCTTCAGTATCTGTTCATACCTTTAGATTAACGTGTTAGCCATTAATTAGCCATTAGACTTCAGCCTTCCTCAGGAAAACTATTTTTTGTCTAGCATCCTAGGCACAGATTCTGAAAGTCCTTTAGGAACTGTTAGAACTGTTCTCTAGTTCTCCAGAGAAGCCAACGTCACCCAAAATACAAAAGATTCAGAACGCTACAATCAGAACAGAGTAAAAACAGAAGAAGCATCTGAGAAGTTTTTGGCACTTATTTTTCTTGGAGCTAAGGATCTCAGTTCATCTTACCAATACAGGCTCTGTGAGGCCAGTAAATATTATGTTCATATGTAAGGAGACGGAGAAAAAAGTTCCTCTGACCAATTCCATCTCACAGTCAGCAGTACATGAGCAAGAGGAACTCCATTAGACGGGTACTAAGTCTGGTCACACCATTGGACAAGTCATAGCCAGCACCTGGGACTAAGGATTTCGCTGCAAGAACCAACCACACTACAAATACACTTTTGAGAAGTAGCTAGGTTGTGTCATTCATGATAAATATTAGAGGCAGCCTTTCAGACAAAGCACAATAACTTTACATGAATTTACGGCTTCACTGTGCATCTTAAAAGCAAGCATGTACCAGCCAGCCTGTTACTGTGAAATACATTGCTCTTCCCCCAGGCACAAAGCTACGCCTTGTAGCTTGGCTTCTGGCAACAAAAAGCCCAACTGTTTCGACTACAGATACCTGTAGTATTTTGTCCCGTTGATGCATGCAGGTTAAACCTCATTTTGCTAGATGAGACAGCTGACAATCCTGATCTCATGTCCTGCCTCATACTTCAGAAAAAAGTCAGCTATTTCTCACAGTGCATGTGGTCACCTCCGTTGTACTGCTCGTGGCTGGGAGAATCCTCACCTGGCCACGTGGAGCCCAAAACACAGGACTGGATGGCCTTATCAGAGCATGAAGTCAACACACTCACGTGCATAACCCTGGCTCCCTCAGCAGGCAATGGCATGCACTTACGACACGCCAGCAGCTGGGTTTCTGCCACAAATTACTGGTGGTGGGGGACCCGGCCCCAGCTGAAGCAGGCTCAACCCTGACAGACCTGCTTACAGCCCGAAGCAAGCAGCCCTTCCAGGACAGCCGTGTTAACCCGTCATTTCCCCGTTTAGTGACCAAGCGTGTACCTTCCCCCCTCACTTTTAATTGAGCTCTGGAAGATAACACCACAGAGGAGGTGTGGCTAGAGTATGTTTGGAGGGTGCCTAGGGAGCTGCACAGGGAAGAGAGCAAACCTTTCCCCGGCCCTGGAACCAGGATGGGAAGCACACACTGCCCTGCAGCAAAAAGTACCTGCAGTGCAAGGGTAGCAAGACTTCCTTCGTCATGCAGACATAAGACCCTCACCTCATCAAATGGTCTGCCTGACGTGGCACCGAGAACCCCAGAGGTGCTGCACAGGGAGGCTTCTGCTGTCCCTGAAGATGTAGCACAAAAGCACAAAAGCACAGGAAGCATTGCGTAGACAAGCACCTGGCTGCAGCTTCTCTGCCAATTCCAAACGTCAGCTTTTGTGTAATTGTTCTACCAAATACTTACCAAGACATAGCAGAAATTGGAAGAAACAAACAGCACGTAAAGCCTCATATACTTTCAATTAAAAGGCACACACGTTATTTCCTAGGCTGCTCTTTAAACACAGAACTAATAGTTTCTTGATAGCCCAAAGCGTTAGGGAGATAACTAGCTGAGAAAAGTGCCATCTAAAATGCCCGGCACTAACTCTGAATCAGAGCACAGTTGCTTTTTCCTGTGTATTCAGTATTTGTAACAAACATTTATTAACAGTGATACAACAGTTTTCTGTGAACACTGACCTCACAGGCTGCTGGGGGAATGTAATACAATGTTTGCACATTTGTGCAACAGACTGCTACCCCAGAGTTCAGACAGGAAATCAGTAAAGCAGACGCATTCCAAAGAGCTTGTTCCCTCACTAATTTTCCTTAAAACAAGATGAGAAAGAAAACAGGACCATCCAACCACGCTGCTCCACAGGAGAGCTCCCTTCATCCTGCAGCACACCAGGCTGTTTCCCAAGCACCCGCCAGGGCAAGCCAAGGGCACTGCCCCTCGCAGCACTGCCCTGGCAGGGAAGCTTTGGCCCCTGCTCCGTGACCCAACACAGCAGCCCCCACAGCTCTGTTTTGGCACTGCCTTACTTGGTGCTTCACAACCCGCAGCCCATATCCAAAAGGAGTTTCTAACTCACTGATCAGATACAAGGATGTTTCCAGGCAAAGGAGCCACGTTGCAATGCAAGCCCTCAGACACTGAAAAAATGCCGAGTTAAAAATCCTTGCTCTTAAATCCAATACCTTGTCCTCCTGCTTGGAACCAAGCGACGTCTGTTACAGCTGCAAACAGATTTCCAGGATTTATCAATTCCTCTTTAGGAAAAACTAAGAAGAAACTTCATCAGGAGAGCATCATTAAGAGGTAGGAAACTCAGAAAAATGCACCCAAAGGGATGACAGCAAGTTACAGCTGCATTCGCTTCCAGACAAAGAGCACAAAGAACCGGCCAGCCTGCTGGACATTCTTGAGAAGTATTTTAACACCAGCACTGCATTGACTCTCAAGCCAGTCACCAATTGCTGAGTCAGCTATCTCCAGACAAAGATGCACTAGCACCTTCCCCAAAATCTAAGTGCAATGAATACATACTCCCTAACTAAAACCCAAGTCCAAGACCGCATAGAAAATGGTGCCAGAGAGGTCAGAATTCATGTTTCTGACTTGGGGTCTGGTTCTCAGTAGCTGAAAGATGCCACTTCCCAACAGAAAACAAAGCCCCCAGTGTTATTAGCACAGGCTGTTGGTTTGGTTTTGTTTTTAAATACCTACAACTCTATACAATCTCCCACAAATCAAAGTAATTGTTTTAAATCTTGTCTGAATGAGCAATATAAAACACTGCAAAACCAATACAACTTCTCCAACAAAACCAGTATATCTGCAAGGAATTCAGACTACAGTAGCCTCAGGTCAGACATTTACTGCACTTGACCTGTAAAACAAGCAGCAGAAATGAGACAAACTGTTGGCTGCAAAGACCAGCAAAGGGGGTCAAAGAGGCAGGATCCTGTGATCATTTCTCCTCTTCATCACTCTAAGGCACTGCTCCTTAACA